TGTTTGAGTCGTGACCGCTTGATCTGGCCGTTGATCCGCTTAATGTGATTTCCCTCCAGGGGATGGAACTGCTGCTGATTTTGCCGTCCAGACTTTGGCCAAATCGCCCAATTGTTTTCTCATTTTGCGCGATTCTTGTCTGGTAGGCGGACAGAGTTCAGCGGTTTTGACTGGGGGGTTTATTGTAGTGACCTTCTGAACTATCGAATGTGTGCAGCGCTGAAAGAGCTGGAGCCAGACTGGGAAAGGCGTCAATTGGCAGCGAAACAGCTGTGTGAGAATTGTGGACATATCCGTGATGGAGCCTTGAGCAATTTGCCGCACCGACATCGCAGAGCTGTCCCAAAGTACAACGCCTGTTTTGCTTTGGGGCAGCTCCTGCGAGCAATTTCGATCAATGGCTAGATGAGCCCAAATCCAGATGCGCACAATCTCGCACAGGGTCACAGAGAGTGCACAATAGTCTCAGATCCCGATGTTAATCTGTGTGGTCAGCCGCGATTTCCCACCGACGATCAGACCGTTGGCTAAATGCCATTCGCTGGGCGAAGCTTGTACGAAGCTACCTAATGCGCGCTTCCACACCTGCCTGATGGACATCCCGTTCCCGTGCGGCTTTTGCCGCTTATTCCTATTGCCGCCCTCCAGAATCCAAAGAACGTTGAAGGCCATCGATCTGAACCAATTGTTGGCTTAGGTGATGCTAGCCTTGGAATTAGACGGCATGTCAGACAGCCCGCCTAATTGCACATCCAAAGCATCCCCCTCCCCCCACCGCCGTGTCTCGTTCCCTAACCCGCCGGGACTGGGTTAGGAAACAGTTCCCTGGGCCACTATCCCCCCCCACACACACACCGGGCATTCTCGGTGGCATGAGCAATCTCGATCGGCCCCATGGAACACCATTGCACCGCCCATCCGCAGCCCAGCGCCACCCTCTCAGGCAACGCGCTGCCAGTCCGGCACCTCAGCAATACACGCCACGTCCCAACCAAGGCCGCATTTCCGCTGCAAAGGTTTCAGTCCTGGTCCCTTGTGCAGACCAATCGGCAGGCCGCATGTGCACACCGCGCACGGCGCGCAGTACAATCAGATACTACAGCAGTACAGTAGACCTTTCTGTTGCCTGTAGTCTGTCCCCCCGGCGCCTCGCTGCCGCTTCAGGCGACAACGAATGCCGTTTGGGGCGTCAGGCCGCGACGTTTTCGACGCCCGGAGTGGGCAGGCTGGTTTGGAAGGCGCCGCTGCCGTCGGGGACCCTGGACCAGGAGAAGCCTTCATCGGCGTCGCCCTCGGACCACTGAGCAATGTCCAGCTGGAGGCCGCTGGCGTCCTTCAGCACCGCCTGCGTTGCGCACGCCGCCAATCAATCAGTCCAACCGCTTGATCGGACCGCCGATCAGTCAATTAGTTAAACAGCACATCTATCTACCAATCATTCCACTAGTCGCAATCTATTCATCAATCTGTTCATTTGAACAGATGCACGTCCGTTGACACATACGCATCTGTTGAGTTATGATCACGTCTATATGCATAATCATCTGCCAACAAATATACACAAATTAATATCACCATGCATATGCAATGTCACACATAGATACATACAAACTATTGCATCACTGGTAGAAAACGGCATATTTGCGATGCCAACTGCGATGCCACTTTTACACAAAATGATGCCATCACAGTGATTGCGATGGCAGAAAAGGTGGCTGTGATGGCATCAATTTGTCTCAAAATGGCATCGCAAGCATGCTGTTTTCTACTAGTGCATCATGTCTAAGGTATACCATCAAATCTCTATATTGTGATCATCTGCCAGTAAATACACACGAATTGCGTCATTCTCTCGTACAACAGATTGACGCATTTTGTCGGCAGTTGTTGGCACACGATCATGGTCTATAATCAAATCAAATCTGCCAGTAACTGCATTCAAACTGTGATAACATACAGTGCAACAGATTGGCACATTTTGTAGACAGTCGTTGGCACACTGCCACATTAGATCGGGCATCTGCCCAGCAATCGACGCCCCTGCACCCTCACCTGGTCGTTCTTCTTGTACCCGAAGGAGAACGAGCACTGGGCGTCCCTGAACAGCACCAGGTAGCCCTTGCCCTCGACCACGTGCACCCCCTCGCAGCCCTCCCCCCCCATGACGTACTCCTTGCCCTCCTCGTCGCTGATCACCCATCCGGTCATGTCCTGGCGCTCGTCGCACTCGTTCTTGAGCTCCACGAAGTCGACCCCCTTCTGTTCGCCGATGTCTGCGGGCTTGTTCACCACCTCGTTGATCCCCACGCAGTACTCTGAGCAAACAGATTCAAGATGGATGTTGCCGGAATCGGAAAAAAACATACGGCATATGCGGTTCAGCACAAGGCAAGCTACAGTTTGCTTCAAATTCACCGCACCGGGTTGCTGCTCACCACCTCGTTGGGGCCGACGCAGTCCTCTGCGCGACGCGAAGGAAAGAGCCGCTGAATCGAATGCGCTTTCAACACCAAAAGTCCAAAGACAAATGTCTTCAAACGCATGAAATCCACAGTACATATGCCATAGTGGTTTTTGCTGTGGCTTTTGTGTGCTTCCGCCGTCTTTATTGTGGGTTTTGTGCTGGTTATACATCAGCGAAGAACTTGTTCACCACCTCGTTGAAGCCGACGCAATAATCTGCCCCGACAGATTCAATATGGGTGTTGCCGGAATCGAAATTACACAGACGGTATGTATGGTACAACATACGGTACGCTGCAATTTACTTCAGTGCACGGTGTTCAACACACCACACCGGGTTGCTGTTCACCACCTAGTTGACACCCACGCAGTATTCTGTAAAGACGGGCGTTGAATCAAATGTGCCTTTTGTTATATTCTTTACGTCGAGGACATGTGTCCCAATGCCGTTCAGTGTCTGTCCAAATCTCAGGAAATGCAACGCAGGACGATTTTGTCCATTGAGTTCCCTGCAGTAGTCCTGCGATGATGCCAATTCAATGTGAGCCAAGCGTAAACTAAAGGCGTCTTCGAAGGCGAGCGGGGTCCTTGCACCTTGCAAAGGGCGATGGGCATTTCTATTTCCAAAAGCATGGTAACGGGGCAACAATCAAAAAGGATTTGGGTAAATTCGAAAATAAAGCTTATGCAGCATATGGTGCGCATTTATGTAATAAGGATGCGAACAGCGTTTGTCCAGTTCGACGCAACCCGTTGCTCGTGGCGGAAAGCTCTGCGCAACGCGCAACAAATAGGGTGCGATTCAGGTTGGATCCTGCCAGATCCGAAAAAGCATGTGTACTCCGCAACTCTGTGTACGTGCACATGCGCAAATGGACTCTAGCGCATTTATGTTCCATGCACAATGTGTTTAACAATATTAATGGGTGCGGTTCATCATGTGGTTGACCACAGAGTCAATTCTGTGCCACGTAAAAAATAAAACACAAGGCGCACCTTTTTCGCGCCCACAATTCTCAAGATCCGCTATACATATGTGCACTGCACGATATGTACTGTTGCATGTACAGCTTGCTTTATGAACCACGAATTTTAGATTGGAATGGAAATAGAAATCAATGCCTGTTGGTCATCTTGAGTGCCTACAGCTACTATGCGAATCGGCCCATGGATTATCAGCGGCAACAAACACATCTGGTCAAAGAGCCAAAGCGCAAGACGGTCTTCAAGACCAAATTCTGTATCCACTACCTGATACAACATAACGCCCGATTACCAAGGAAACTAAGCTGGTGCTGAGCGAAACAACCATCAATGTTTTCAATATCCGTATTCTTCAAATTTCACAATGGTTCTGGTCACTCTTCCTTCCATTCTCACCTGGCGCCTGTCTCAGGCCGCGTCGATCACCTGCCCCAGGCCAAACAACAGCTTCAAACCCTGTGCACTTCACACGCAAAACAACAAAGCAAGAACATGCTCCGTGTGGGGAGATGTCAGCAGCATTGTCGGTCCATCAGATTCCTAAAGTCATGAACACCGATGACAAGACGTTTCAGTTCCCCTTCCAGACTGTACGCCAGAAATCCGTGAAGCCAGAGGATCGCGCGCCTCGCCAGACGTTCAGGCTGCAAGATGTGATTTGGTGTTCGCGTGATTGTGGCTTTTGCATTCTGCAACAAACACTAGGAAAAAAAGGGCCAAATAACACGTGTTCAAACGTGTACAAAGTTTACGGGTTTGTGTTGTTTTTTTGTTCTTAGCGTGCAGAACTTTGATGAAATGTGTTTTATGTGTGTTCGCAAAAGTGTTATTTCGCCCTTTTTTTCCTAGTGAAAAGGGTAATCACGTGCGCCACAATTGATTGCAGCGCGTGCCTGAGGGGCACGCTCAGACAACGGAAGCCCTTCCTTAACTGGGGCCAGCGATATTTCCTGGGGAATCGAAAGGCGCTTCGATACTCCCTACGGGGAACGAGCAAGCTGGAGATTGGCTTGAGTACGGCCAAAGCCTGTGCGGGAATGGACACGAAATCGGTCACCAGAGACAGGTCCGGGACGGGGTGGCCATGGGCCTGCGCATTGGACCCGCCCCCGAGTCTCGGACCAGCGACACCTTCCCCATGGCACCGCACCATCGCCCGTCACCGGGCTTTCGGCGAGGGCCCGCCACCACATGGCCCACAGCGCACATCGATCCATTCTCAGCCCGCGCGCTTGGCCCCATGCGCGCCCCGCCTCCCCCCCCTCCTTCGAAGACCGGCGAGGACGGTTCGCGCCGCCCCGCGCGGGGCAATCCGTCGGCAACCACGCGGCCATCCAAGCGCTGCACGGCAAACGCGCCTCTCGATTGACGCCCCGCGAGGCCGTTGATTTGCGCACGGCCGAGGCGCGCGCCCCACGCGCTGAGGACGCTCCCGTGCAAACCTTCACATCGGGGTGCGGGCCCTTGGACGCAAATTGCGAGGCGGCTAGAAATGCAAGCGTCGGAAAAGCGGGCGCCTGCCCCCCCCTTCCCCGCTCTCACCCGCCGCCCCCGATGCGCAGAGCAGAAAGCCAAACGCGGCCAGCGCCGCTGCGGCCAAGGTCCCCTTCATTTTCAGCGCCCTGGATGTTGTCGGTGTCGAGTACGTACGGCAAGGTCCTGTGCCGTCGGCTTTTGCTCCCCAGGGGATTCGGAAACTCGGCGATCGGTGGGTCAAAGGGGTGTGGCCGTTGGTCGGCGGTGGCTTGACGCGCCACGGCGATGAAGAAGATCGGTGACAGGTTGCTGGATTTTGTCGCCATGTTGATGCGCGGGAAGGCGCACGGATGGAGTCATGGGAGGGTGACACCACGACGGGACGGATCGTCCGAGGTCGGCTGGGGAGCGGAATCGAAGCGTAGGACTTGCAAATACTGCAATTGGCGGTCAGTTCTTCGCTCAGGATTGAGCTGTGCCCTTCTCTGAGTACCGCGCTATGTGTTTCGCTCACTGCTTCGCTTAGTGCTCGGGGGCTTGGGGTTGAGGACGCAGCTGTATGTACGACAGTTCCGATTGGGAATCCGCATCTCGCTTGCTTGCCTGCCTTTGTTCATGACGTGTTGTCGATTGATGCATGGAGCCTGTGGCACTGCTGTGCGGAGGCATGGTCCTTGAAACTGGCCCATGCTTTGGATCGATTGATGAATTCATAGTTGCATTAGAAAACTGGAGGGCAGTAATTCACAGGCTCCCCCACATTTCCGAGAAGCACGCAATGAACGAGTTTTCCATACAACAGAACAATCAACCACAATATAGGTCAACCAATCAACCAATCGATAGGTCGATCATTACGTCGGAAAAAAGGAAAGAACGAAGCTTGAAGCCTCCTGCTCCTTGTGAAGATGAATTCGGACAATTGTGGCGACGTTTGCCAGTTTGCCGAAGTCACCAGCCCGTGGGGTGCCATCGCCGGCCACGCTGGCGACGGTTGGAAAGGATTGCTAGGTCGTTAGGTGGCACAAATTCCGGTGGCGCGAAATCGCGGCGAAATTCGGCGAGCAGCTGGGCCCAGGCAAAGACGAGCACAAGGACGCGCAGCCCGAGCCGCTCGAGCCCAACGGAACTTCACCTGCAGCCAAGCACTCCACCAGGAGCGACAGCACATTCACATCAGGAGAGATAACCCGGCGACCGTCGCGAAAATCGTTACGTAACGATTTGTAGCGCGGTTTGTTGACTATTCGATCGCACGATCGAATCCAACTACTGACCGTTTTGACTGGCCGGCCCTAAACCGCTGTTCACAAAACACAGCGGGAGTGCCCACTCGCAATCAATAGGTGTCTACATGACGTGCACATGTTCTGTGAGCCGCACGCAAGCACAACAGGAATGCAGGCAACGGCAGAGCAAAGAGCCGGCTTTTGGTTGGGTGTTTTAGATTGGGTTTGCTGATGTGATCTTTGCATAGTTGATTATTTCTGTTTGCGTTTGATCCATCAGTACACTCTGAGGACCACGAACGAGCCACCGACGCGCGAAATAGAACGACCCAGAGCCGGTGTGATGACGTAATTTACGGGTGGCTGACAGCCACTGGCTGGAATTGGGTTTCGAAAAGACATTTGGGAGGCCGATGTGGTGCTGCATGTGGCATTGAACAAAACTGCAAAAGAACGAGGCTCAGCGGTCCCCTTTCTGGATCGTGTTTAGCTGCAGTGCGGGGCTTGCACCCAAACCAGCACTTCAGGCTGGACTGCGGTGGCTGCCACCCTGCTGGGCAGCTGGCATCACCGGCGGTTGCAGCGTGGGTTAGTGGTGGTACCCGGTTTCCAAACCCATCCTAGGTACCCGGAGTTTCACAAAGCAGGGTACCCAGCAGTACACGGGTAACCTGGCTGCTTCCGATTAGCATCTAATGTCCATCAGTATCTGTACCGGGTACCCATGTGGCAACACTAGTTCGCGCACAAGAATCAGCGGACCTCAGCCGAGTCAATGGACGCCACATCGACAGAGCTCCAGCCACTCTGAACACAGCCGCAGCGAGACTGAGCAAGTGCTGAGGGGGGCTCAGCGGGCCCCAAAGCCGATGAGCAAGCGCTGGCTACCGAGCAAGCTGGCTCGTACTGAAACTTGCGAAAGGTCCGTCCCGAGAACTTCCAACATGGCCTTAAGGTGCAAGGGCTGTGTTTGTCATTTTTAAAGACAAACGTAGTCAAAGGATTTGATGTCCCCATAACTGACTGGCCTGAGAACCGATATAGCCACCATTCTTGTCAATGCAGTTGGTCGGTTCGCCCCTATCGATCGCTGACGATCGGAGTGAAAACTGGCATGAACCAAACTGTTGTCGACATGGCGCTGACATGCACATCACTGTGAATCTGTCGATTCCAACGAGTGCAGGTCGCTAATGGCCCATTTTGTTGGAGGCCTGGCTGTGATACCCCCCTTCATTCATGGGTGGTTTGGTCCACAGCTTCGAGTGGTACTGAACTGACAATTGCAAAGCAGCAACAAAACTATATGATGACAATACAACCAGCACCGAAGCAGCACAATACTTCGATCAGTGCTGTATTGTAGCCATGAAGATCGACTTGACTGAGACACACCCATGCCAGAGTGTCTTTGATTGCCTACAAACTAAGTTGGAGTGTCTGTTTTAGTACTAGGAGTACAAAAGGCTAGAATGGAAGTAGGAGCAGGGGCTCATGCAAAGTGAAGCCCACAGGCATGCATCCCAGACGTGCTCTGTCCCACTTGCCTTGTTACAGCATAAACAGCTGAAACTTGCGGGTCCGTGTCCCAATGCTCAAAACCCCACCGCCTCATCTCGGAACCTTTTCACACAGGCACGTGCAGCTCGTCAAACACTTACACAGATTCCCCAGCGCACTCTCATCGCTCAAGTCCTCGCATACCAGATGCTATGGATCGACCCGCTTGCAGCTCCAGAGGGGCAAGTCTTCCCATGCAATTCGTTGGCAACAGAACATGCGCTCCAGAGGACGACTTCAAGGACTAGAGATAGCCAGCAGAGGTGCGCTGGGGCAAAGGTAGATTTGTGGCAAAATGGCAAGGTGCTCAGTCGAATAACGAGAAGCCCATGTCCTGCAGACACAATGCAGCACACATTGGTCAGCTCATTTGTGAGCTTGATGGGCATTTCGTCTGCAGCTGAGGATTTCTGTATCCACTCGTTTTGAGTGGGAGCTGCACATGCGTATTCTTCACAAGATTATGACCCATACACGACACCTCGGGTTTGGGCCTGTGAGTTGGACTTGAGTTAGGACAGGCAACAGCAACACAATCAAAATGGCCTGTGCCAAACAGACACAGCCAGTGACACATCATTTGCAACCTGGAAAGCAGCAGTTGAAAATCACATCGCCTTGAATTGCCCTGCATTGCATTTCGTGTGAATGGGCCTCGACAATGGTTTCGGACAGGGGCACGCACTCTCAGGTTTGGGATGCGATGGAGTTTCAACATCGCCTTGCATCCTCTTGCTCGGTGGCACAAGACCCCACATATCTTGTCATAGGACAGGGGAGCAACCTGGGCACTGAAATGTACTGCAATATTTTGAATCCAAAATGCCAACAAAAAGGTACAGTTGGAAACCAACAGACCAGAGCACAGAACTGACAAAAGCCAACCCCATCATCATGTGCGCCTTCCCCCGATTCCCCAGCCTTGCACACACCTCATCCTCTTCTTCCTCCTCCTCTTCCTCCTCCTTTTTGGCCTCCTCCTTATCCCCGCCGTCCCCGGCGGCAGCAGCGGCGCCACCCCCGCTGGCCACGGCGCCGCCGCCCGCGGGCACAGATGCCAGCTTCTCGACGCCTGCTGCCATCACCTCGTTCACATCCTTGCCCTCCATCTCCTTCAGCAGTCGGTTGAGACACTCATCGTCCACGTCGGCGCCGACTGGTCAAGCAGGGCAGAAACGAGGAAGTGCGTCAATAACCCCGAAAAGCTGACACACCACAAGGCATGTGTGGCAAGATGTGCCCCGAAAACACCAAGAGTTCACACCCCACACAGCATGCGTGCCAAGATGTCTGTTGAAAATCCCGACAGACAGGTGATGCAATGGAGCACCCCCTCCTAAGCAAGCACACGGCGAAGAGAGAGCGTGTGTGTGAGGAGGGTGGGGGGGGACAAGCTGCCGTCAGGCGAATGATTCGCGCAAAAAAGATGGACGAGAACAGAACGGAAAGAAAGGTCCCGATCGATGGACAGAGCCGAGGGATCAGCCGCGATGCGCTGGTGAGGATCGGCGGCGGCAGGGGGCGGCCACTGGGCGCGGAGAGCGCGGCGGGCGGGAGCCGCCACCGCCAGCGCCCCCACAACCATGGACGGATGCAGTGATTCTCAGAAAGCATGCCGCCAGGATTTGCTCGCTCCCTCCCGGCCAGGCTCCGCTCGCCTCACGAGGTTCCCCAACCCCAGCCGCTCAAACGCCGTGTCCCCCCATCGCTGCTCAGGAGGCTATCAACCAGCACCACAACCACCGCCTCCGCACACCCAAGGCCCCCATATCAGATGTCCGGATCCCCATACAGCAACCGGGGCCGATCGCGCCCTCTCACCCGATTCCAGGATCTTCTTGATGGCCTTTGCGTCGGGGCTGGCATTGCCGCCCAGGACCGCCTGGAAGCAGCAAAATACGAAAGCACCAATCGCGGTTGGGCCTCGCCAAATCGTCCGTCGAGCAGCGATGGCGGCGATTCGGAGATTACCGGAGAGCGCGTGGAGGGGGGGGGGACCGCACCAGAAGGTAAGCCGCCACGTAGCGCATGCTGGCTGCCCGGCGCGGAGTGTCGCTCGCCCGCTGCCGCGAGGTGGGCTGTGCGTGGGTGGCTGCTCCAGAGCGCCAGCCGCCACCTTGGCCAAAATTGCCCTGGAGATGAAGCGGTGGCAAGGTTGAATTGGGTCATTTTGTTGGAAAAAATCGACTTTTTTGGGCCGGTTTTGGGTACCGGATCCGTGGGCCCATGCGGGCGGGCTGGCGGAGCAAGGATTTTGTTGTTTCTTTGTTTCTGCGAGCAGGGTGGGGGTTGGGGGGTGGGTTTGAAATTTGATGCACTGTGCGACTTACTCACCAAAAGGGAGCACGCCATAACAAGCGGAATCCATCCAATGTGGCCTCTGTGCCACATTAACAAGCAAGTACTCGGCCAAACACACGGCTTCGAACCGCGTAAACGGTGTCAAAAACGTGTAAACATCGAGTCCACTCATACAATCGTTACTGCACGGTTTGGTACCATTTTTGTATTATAATACACTATTTAGCACGATTTTCACACGAGTTTCGATCAATTTACAGGGTACACGATTTTCAAAAGAGTGTATTTTGGTCTGTTTGTTGCTAGCGATTGCGGAAAGATGAACGACAGGCTTCCAAAGCAAGAAGATCAAGAAAAGGGCGGGGGGTGGAAATCGTACTTTATTGTTTTCATAGCGCAATATTCCATTAATGGACCACATGCAGCTGGCGGCTGCATGTCCTCCTGTTGTAAATTGGTTTCCTGGGCCAATTAATGCCAATAATGATGGCATAGTTTAGCAACCTATTTGTCACAGTGCACGCCAGCCCCAGTTTACCTTAACTCAGCGTCACACGCATATCAGGATCCACATCAGTGCACCAAGTCTTAGGCCTTTGGATCCCCAGTTGCGTTATGATGCAGCCATGCGCCGCCTGGAAGAGAGATTTAAATACTGATCACCCAGAGCGCAGCAAACGTTCGTATACGGCGATACGTATATACGCCTCGATACATCGCCTGGATCCTCCCCGGTTTGGAAACTCGCCCTTCAGCCACAGCTTCCTGAATGGATCGCCAGCGGCAACTTACCAAATCTGCTTACAGTATACAGGGTAGTTACGTAACTGCCATCTATACATCTACTGTTCCCGTCCCAAAATGTTAAAAAAGATGCCACAGAGTGTGCCCAACTTTTGCTCTTTCGCTGAGCATTTGAGGCGGTCTTGGCCGACCACATCATACTCTAGCACGGCGGTCTATCGCCCTGGACGGGGTTATCTCTGGCCCATATTTTAAATTCTTACACTCTCAAAACTCCAAACTGATAACTCTCGAAAATGGATTCAATGGCCCCTCAGGTATCCTCTCAAAAACGCGCAAGCCACCACCACAGCAGCCCCGGCCACAACAGCGGGCCATGTCCCCTTCACACCCCAAAATCGTCCGCGTTCAGACCGCGCTGACATTGGCAGAAAATCGCCCTTGTTGACGCTGTCCTTAACCGCTTTCCAATTTCCGCATTGGTGAGAATAGTGTATTTGAAACTGAAAACGCTTCACAGCGGGACCAAATCGCGTGATATCTACAGAATTTTTGGTGCCATTTCTCAACTGCGCTTTTGAGCATGAACTAAAACGTCCGCGAACCGCCAAAAACGCCGCAACAGCAACGCGCCGCTCGCCAAACGCAGCCACTGCGCGCCAACACGGCCCCGCCCTCTCCTCCTCGCAGCCTTGGTGTAGCACGTACCGTGACAAGCCCACGTCTGTCGTAACACCACCTCTAGCTGCATATGTGTCTCCTGCAGAAGATCTTCTTCTTCTTCGAGAAGGTCTTCTTCTGGCAGCCCTCACCGGCGCGCGTTGTGCCACGCCAGCACCCCCCTTGCGAAGTCCTGGCAGTTCTCCACGATCATGTTGTAGGAGGGCCGCATCAGGCACACGTGGCGGATGACGTCACGCACGCTGCGCCCCCGGCCGGTCGCCCTCTTCTGCCACGCGGTGGCCATACCACGCTTGCAGCCCTTCACGACGTCGATGCCCGCCTCGTCGGCCTCATGCATGCTGTCGCAGCACGTGACCACAATGTCGCCGTCGCTGCACTTCTTGGCCACCAGGTACGCCAACTCCCCCCCGGGGCCTCGCACCTGCAGAGAAGGCGGTGGGCCGTGCACAACCATGTTTATGTACAATCAGGTTTATGTTTATGTAAAATCACGTTTACGCTTACGTACAATCACGTTTATTACATTAATAATTACAATTATGCTACATGCATATTGTCATATGTGGGGATTGGCAACTGGTGTTGGTGGTATTCATCTTGGCCGTGTTCTGGGTGCCGTTCTTCACGACAGTAGTGTACAGATGACTGGCTGCGACATAGCAACGTCGATCCATGTGATCCTACAAATCTGCCATTTTCGACAGCTTTAAAACATTTTGTTCTTTTAAAATAGCACATTTGTGTTCTAACGCATTTGGGATATGTGTCAATTGAGTGTAAATTGGCTACAAATTGACTTTCGTCATGGAAAGGCCCACACCTACCTTGGCGGCCACCCAGTCATGCCGCAAGACTCCACTGCGGATGCTGCCGAGCGGCGCCAGCGCATGCCTGCAGCCCCAAAGCCGTTGGTTGCTCTCAGGCTCAGCTAAAAGGCTCACCATGCATGTGCCCCAAGCTGGCTGGATACTTGCGCAAGAATTTGCTGACAAACGAGACAAAATATCCACAGATATCTGCAC